TCTCTCTCTCTTTCTCTGTCTCACCTCGACTCGGCCGCAGTCTGCCTCGCCCCCTCCAGCGACTAGCGCGCTTCTGCCAAGCGGCGGATCGGTGGGCGATCGTCGCTGGCGGCAGCTGCGCTCTGCGGAGCCCTCAGGCAGCACCGACGGTCGATCTGTTCATGACTAGCTGATCGGTGCCGTCGTTTGGAAATTCAACATTCGAAGCCGTCATGGATCTGGCTCAAGAAATTATGACTCACGTCAATTCCCAATGAACTTAATTACTATCCACAAGAAGTATTCGCACAAAACTACCTGGTTGTTCGATGTATCCTTGACCCCAGCGTGCAGTATGTGTGGTGGTCGGTTCAGTCGTTACCTGCATCACGAGTTGGTGTGGCCTTGTTGCAGATGGTCATGTATTCATCGCCGAAAATTAACCGAGCGGTGCCAGGCATAGCGTGGTAGGTAAAATTCTGAGCTTATCATACCCACATCATCATCATCATCATCATCATCATCACACTCGTAGTTTCTGCTCCAACAAATCTTTCGAGAAGACGAAGAAGAAGAAGAATGAGCTTCTCTGCTATAGAACAGCGCTGTCAATATCAGCACCACGCGCCAAGTAAGCAAGAGAAGAATATCCTGGGATCCCGATCATCTAATTCACACAAACAAGTTTATCTAATGGCTGTCACGACAGCTTCGTTCTTTACACGTCATGTGCGTGTGTACAACTCTCTTGTGGTGCAACTGTTATCAATGCTCTTAACTCGGGCATGTGGACATTGTAATATGAAACCGATCGTCCTGAACCCTAACTGGTACTCGCAACAGTTTTGTTCGTGAGTTGTCATCATGTGTATACGAGCAAGGGACTAATTTTGGGCGCGTGCAGAAGACCCAAATCGCACAAACGCACGAGGGCCTGTGACGCGTGCTCGCGAGGTGCAAGCGTGTCAGCAGTTGTGTACGTGTGGAGAGGAATCCCTTGCGCCGTGTTTCTAGCACGAAGCCAAGAGATTTCTCCAAGGCCTCCTCATCTACACATTGCGGACGGCATCTCGCGCACCGCGGCCGTAGCTGCCGAATCGTAAGAGAAGATCAACCCGACGGAGGACGGCGTTGGCGGCGCCAGGTGTCCTAGGTCAGGGCTGCCCGCGCACGCGACAGCACGCCGCGCTACTCTCACTCTATAGAAAAGTAGTTTTTCAAAACGGAGGTATATTTGTATGAAAAGCGCAAAGTGGCAAAGTACGTAAATATATTTATCTATGTATAGAATTCGTGTTAAATTATGTCGGTGCAGAATAGATGGTAATAGTTATGTTGCGCGAACTGAAAACTCCCCTATTTGTCTACCATAGTTTACTTTGCGGAGTCGGAAAATAAAGATCATTCCACCCCCAGTCTGTGTAATGCGTCTGTGTCATCTTCAATGTCATTGATGTGAAGACTATTTCTTGTCTGTATGCCGATTGAACTCTGTTATACTGCCGCCATTTTGCTGATGATTGTTTAGTGTGCCATTTGTTTGCCTTTTCTCATTTATAATTTCAGTATCCTTTTAATCCTCAGTTGCCTGAATTGTGTAGTAGGCTACCAAAGTCTTCGAATTATTGAGCAAGTATGTGAAATTAGTTCTGTTTCAATATTTTTTAATGCATTTATATGTTCTGTAACAGTGCATTTGCCATTTATATCTGCAAATGCATTTCTTTTGATGTATCATTTATGCAATAAAGACGATTTATTTTAATAAGTGTTCATTTATGTAGCATGTGCACTTAATTCATCCTCTGTTTCAATATACGAGGCCAATGCTCCGTAAAATATTATTTATATGAATTGTCTTTTCATTGCTTTTCATTCATTGCTATTGTCTTTTCATTGCTAATCTCTAAAATTCTTAAAGAAAGAAATTAGTTTGTCTTAAGTTTATTTTCTAAATTAATGATGAAAGTGTGTTTCCAAAACCCTTTTTTTAATGTTTCAAACTCAAAATGTCATGCAAAAACTTTGTATTCCCATTACCAGAAAATTTTATTTATTTTGAAAGTTGCATAAACTGCGTTATCTTATTAGTATACAAAGCTACGAGGCCGGTTTTAATTTTGACGCTTTTACACGGTCAAACACAGTGTTCTTAGAGTTCCAGATGCTCAGATATCTTGCCAAATAAGCATTTAAATGACATTTTGGGGATATGAAAATTTCATATTGTTCAACACACAACTTGTAACTTAAGTGTGAAACATGTTTACCGAATCGTTGTAAATTATTGGAAATAATAATTTACTGCTGGGGCTATGGCCAATTATAAAATTTCTCGAAATTATATTTCCTTAGTTGCAATTTAGTATGAAAACGGTTAACAATTAAATCTCCAGAAAACAACATGCAAGTTTGCCGGAAGAAGCAGTGACGCTGAGCTCGTGAGTAAATTTGAGGTAGGTTGCAGTCTTTTACAGAACGTCTTGTCATTCATTGTTTCAAGGATTCATGCTTTCTTTTCCGTGGTGAGACGTAGGCCTTGAGGCCTGCTCTTCCGCCTCACCACGCACATTCTACCACTATCTCTACGCTTCATTCATCATTTAGGGGGAGAAAGGTATGAAAAGAGGCGACGAAACTGGCGATTTTAATTTTGTTCAGAGGCTTGGTCTCTCACATGCTGTGGACTACACTTTCCCTCCGAAGTAGGCGTACGAAGGATTTTCTTGCGCCCTTAACAATACACAGCTTTGGCTTTGAATCCGAATATAATATGCTTTAGCACAGTGCGCCAGCGTTCCGTTTATTCCTGAGCCCTTAAAATGACCTCTGAAGCCAAGCTACCGCGCTGCGTTCGCCAGTATTATAAGCGCGTCCTCAAAGGGAAAGTCAGATGAGTAATGGAAGGGAATATCTCTCCTCACTTGTACGTGCGTATGCGCTCTCTTGTTCACCTGTAACAAAAACTATCGACGAATACTGCAAAAGCCTAGTATTGTGTGTATTTGAACAGTATTGCTCTTCAGTTTACGTATCAGTTAGTGGTCCTACAACTGCACTTACTTTCACGCATTAATAACGGTTACGTGAAATTATAATACCGCAATTTCTGTCCATATTAACACATCTGTCATCGCCTATATAAATTATCAATCTTAGCGCAGAAGGGGCGAAAATTTAATTCATTAAAGCGAATAGTTCGACAATCCAAAACTCCGTTCCATTTACCCAGAAACGCCGCCCAAAAATGGAAAATTATTCTGCGAACTTCAAACTGCGTTATCACGGCGTTCCCATTGTAGACCTGCGCCATTCTTTTAAGAGTCCTTGTTCTGTGGGTGGGAAATGTGCATTGCTTAAAAAAATTTTTTTTATAATTTCTATTAATTTTTATGACTCATTTCTCAACTACTCATTTCTTTAATGACCATTTCTAACGACATATTAATACATTTCATTTATGACATGTCATCAATATAGTGCATCAGCAATTTTCGAAAATAGATTTTTATTCCGTCCTTTGATGCAAAAGAGGTGAAAATTTAAAGAATATTTGGAGCCATTCTTTTTAGGAAAAAAATCCAATAATTCGCGCAATATTTTTCAAAAATTCTCTTATTTTCGAAAAAATACAATTTGAAGATGTCTTTAAAACAGATTTCGTTCAGGAAAAATAGCTCTCTTCAATACTGTTTTTGTGAGAATACTCCGAAGAAATCGAACTTTGGGAAATTTCGAAAGATCAAAGATTTCAAGAAAAATGAGACCTGCAATATTCTTCAAATAGTCCTCTACGCTATTCGAGGATATAATTTGGACCTATAATTGAGAAAATTTTGAAAATATTGAGACTTAATGACTAGGACCCCCAAACGAGTTTAAATCAAACGAGAAATATCAAATTTGGATAAACAAGCTTTGGCAGAGCAGTTTTGGCGCTAGCGGTGACCCCAGACGGACGGACGTTTCGCAGTCAATCGATTTTGAATTCTCACGACACAGTGTATTTAAGTAATTTACTATGCATAGAAACTAGATTTATACACATTGTTGTTACCGGCTGTGAGATTTTTTGGTGTTGGAAAATAGCTGTTTTTTTTTTCACGATCCTTTCTTCTGTACAATGTAAGAATTACGCGAGAAAGTGAAGAAGTGGCTGTTCCATGATGGAACAAGTGAATAGTTAATAGTTGCCTTGCTGTCGCGTGGCTTAAGATGTGTCAGTGACACAATGAGAATGCAGTGTAGTACGAAAATAGGAGAAAACATTAGACTACTTCTTCTGCATTTGAAGGGTTAGGTTCAAGAACCTGTTCCGGTGTTCACTTCCTTCTGAGCCTTCCTACATCTCTTCTCCCTCTGCATCTGTAGTCCACTGCGAGTGCTGGTAGTCTGCTGTCGGGCATTCGTATGAGATGTTCATACCATCTTTTCTGATT